AGCACCCACCCTCCTGCAAATGAAGGATTACCAAGCAAAACTGATGTGGGTGAAAGGGGAGGGAAGGGGAAGTTTGGGAAGCAGGGTGGGTAAGGGAAATCCTTTCAAGGATGTTGGGTTTTTTAGTGTGTCCTCAGAATTCTCCTCTTTGAGTGGCCTGTGAGGAGCACCTCAAATAGATCTGGCATGCCAGCTGTCTAGATTTTGCTCTTGGTTAATGAAATTAGCGAAGAGCCATTAAAAAATTGGAACGTAGATACTTTGGTCTGGTGGGGAGAGATGATGATGATATGGTTTGGAGATCCTCACTCATTCATGTCAGCCAAAGACCTTGGGCAAGTCACTTCTTCACCTTTCTTGCTGCAGCTCCTCTCTTGTGTTGGAAACCAGGTGAGCGTTCCTCACCACAAGCAAATGAGGCATGACACACAGAAGTGCCTTGCAATTGATTCTGTCGAAAGATGCTCTTTGCAGCCCTTGACACTGTCAGCCTGCTTCCCTGTCCTGCTCTCTGCCAAACCAGATCAAGGCAATTACTGTTGACTTAGGCCCAGAGGCAAGGGCCCAACAGGGAGAAGACATTGTCCACGTGGTGGTTGAATTTAAATCTCAGGGCTTTTCATATTGACCTGTGCCGGAGCACTCCTGTCAACTTCTGTAGTCTCTCCCAGGCTGTCATTTAAGCTTTTAAAATGTGTTGGAGAAGATCAATAGCTTCAGGAGGGCAAGGAGTAATATCGCCTGCCCCCCCCCCGCCCGACAGACTCTAAAAGTGCCCAAGTGTTGTAACAGATCCATTTGCCCACTCCCCCGCCTTTGCTGCACAGCAGAGCTAGACTCGCACTTGCAAGTGAGAAAGGAGAGTGAATAAATGGACTGATGTGGCTAGAGAAATGGCTTCTGCAAAAAAAAAAAAAATCCCTGTTGCAGGGCTATTTTATTTCTTTAAGGGTGCTGTCTCTGGTCAGCAGAACAGTGACTGAAGACTTTTCCCTTTCTGCGAATCATCCACTAGAAGACAGTATGTGCACGCACTAAATAACAGACATTATGCTGCCATTTCTAAAAATCTTTCTCTCCGATCACGGGTGGGATGGGTGGGAGAGTGTTTTGGGTGGGTCTTGTTTCTGCAGTGTGGGGAGCCCAGTTGCCTTCATGTGTATAAGGTCTCTGGCCAGTTTCAGGCCTGCTTCATTCATGGAATACAAAATCTAAAACTTGAGACCTTCAGAAGAGGCCCCAAGGTGAACCCTACAGCAAATGCAGTGATCCTCTTTGCTGTGTCATTCCAACGGACCAGAAGCTGTAGCGACCTACTTTTCTTTTATGGGGGAGATGGGTAGGATGCTTATCTCTTTGTGGGTGCATATTGTGGCATACATTTTTACTATTTAAGATTTGTCTGCACTTTAAGATCTGTATCCCCTCCCTCTGGTGCCCCCCCCAATAAAATATGATCTTTGTACAGAGCTGTATGTGTTCGTTTTTTCTTCTAAATTTCAAGGCAGTTTTGGGTTGTAAACATAGAAGTTGCAGCAACATGCGTGTTACTTATGGTTCACGTAGAAATGTATATGCATGCATTATCTTATCTCCTAGGTTTTGGTAGGAGAGTGGCTCTAACACTTCACAACAACTTTGGCTCCAGCTTGATGCTTCCAAAATGGCGCAAGCTTAAGACAGAATCATGACCTTTTCTGGTTTACAGAGGGATGATACTATCTGTAAGTAGAATAGACAAAGTAGAAACTATACCATCTGTATGGGAAGCCTAACCCTTAATCATAAGCATATTGATTTCAACAGAGCAAGGAACCAAGTATAATGCCAGACCCTCCAAGAGTCCCTATTTTCCAGAGGTCTCCCTGATTTAGAGAAGGCATCCCGACTTCTGATTTGATCCCAGAATGTCCCACTTTTCCTTAAAGGTAAAGGTAAAGGGACCCCTGACCATTAGACCCCGCCATGGCCGACTCTGGGGTTGTGGCACTCATCTTGCTTTGTTGGCCGAGGGAGCCGGCGTACAGCTTCCGGGTCATGTGGCCAGCATGACTAAGCCGCTTCTGGCGAAACAGAGCAGCGCATGGAAACACCGTTTACCTTCCCACCGGAGCAGTACCTATTTATCTACTTGCACTTTGACGTGCTTTCGAACTGCTACGTTGGCAGGACCAGGGACCGAGCAACAGGAGCTCACTCCGTCGCGGGGATTCGACGACCTTCTGATTGACAAGACCTAGGCTCTGTGGTTTAACCCACAGCGCCACCCGCGTCCCACTTTTCCTTAGGATGTCCCTATTTTCATTGGAGCAATGTTGGAGGGCATGGAGTTATTTGACTCCTGAGCTGTCTAAAGGCAATTCTGTAAAGTTAGGGCCACCCAAAATGTTACAAAATAGTGAGCAAGTTTTCCAGTTCTCCCAAGGTCCTCATTATTTTGGATACCTAAAAAGACAGAAGCAGGGCAGGGCGAGGGGATCGGCTTGATGTTGTAGACACTTTAAGATGTCTACAAGGAGGAGATTGTAGGTTGAAACTGGATTAGGTCATGTGGGGGGTAAATGAGAGGGGTGAGGAAAGACTAGGAAAGTGACTAAATCAGGACAGAAGTCCTAAAGATTGCAATGTAAGCTGTGTACACACTGCATTTTTTTTTCCCAGGCTCCCGTGTTCTCTCATTGCTGGTGTTGGAAGCAGAGTATACCTGCCATTTGCCACATTAGCCACCTGTATCCTGTACAGTGCTACCTCAGGTTACGAACTTAATTCGTTCCGGAGGTCCGTTCTTAACCTGAAACCGTTCTTAATCTGAGGTGCGCTTTCGCTAATGGGGCCTCCTGCTGCTGCCACGCCACTGGCATGCAATTTCCGTCCAGAGTTTGTAACCCGAAGTGTTCGTAACCCGAAGCGTTTGTAACCTGAGGTCCCACTGTAGTTTCTTGAAAAGTGATGCTTTTTGGTGTGCTTTCCCTCAAGCCAGCTTCTCTCTGATTTTGAAACATGAGCCATGGGAGAAGCCATCACACATGCACAGATGACAGCTTCACTGAAATGGAGTTTTTTGGGGGGGAATTGCATGCACAGGAAAACAAATTGGGCGATGCCCATCACATGAAGACATCTCACAACATAACAATGCAACTTGAAAGGCAGCAAGTGAAAACTACCTTGTTGTGTTTTAGGTTGTTAATGTGTACATAGCCTTAGTTGCCTTTTCTTCTTGTTCAAATAACTCCAAAAATCTCTTCTGACTGTGCTTATCTGGAGTTTCACAGGTATACTGCGTGTAATTCTTGTTAGTAATAGATTTAAGCTGCTAAATGTTGACCTGTTAAATGTTACCTAAATCTTAGTAGTAACATTTTTATGAGTTCAAATGTTATCTAATATATTTAATATCTTAAAAAGAAAAATATGTTACTTCTGTATTTGAGTTCAACAGAATGATTTCATGCATGTATATATATGTCTCCCTGCATTCAATAAGGCTTTATCCCAGTTCCAGAATCTCAAGAAAGGACCATGTCCACCTGTAATTACAGTGGCTAGCAAGAGTTCTCATATAATGTCCTCTCAGTTACATTTTGATCCATATAGTCAAGGTAACATTATGGGGTCCTAAAGATTTGAAAACGGAGAGGCAGTCTTCTTATGGAAGAAGTGGGTTCTAGTGATCTACACATTAGATCGCTTAACAAGACCAGATGGGGGATTTTTGCTGTTTTCAATTTTGTAGTCTAAATATTGGTAGTGTTAAATGGCAGTATTGCATTGTCAACTACAGCAGTTTTAGAGTCTATTTTGGATCATTAGCTCTGAGTGACTCTGCATCTCCTATAGTGCTGGAGGAAATAAATGGATTTTTTATGTTATAAAGTGAATGTCCAGGATCTTAAAGATGAATGGAATAATCAAGTGTGTTCTCGTCAGCTCAATCAATGAAAAATTGCTTTAGTGTTTATATATAGTCTTTCTTTAGATTTTAAATTTAGACTGAGTAAACAATTCCCCCACACTGCCCCCAGTATATTGGACTCCACAGAGCCTTTGTAGGAAGGAACGGGCTAATTCAGATAAATGTTGCTGATGTAACGCAGAAAACACTTCTGTGAGGCATATAATGTGGGCATTTGTGAATGATGCTTTCTTTCTGGTCAGAAATTATTGGTCATATTAACCTTGCCTTGGATAAATCCTTGATACTTATATGGTGTGGGGGACTGAGGACAAATTCTGCAAGCCCTCATGATGTTTGAGAGACTTATGCTTCAAGACTGGAAGGACAAAGACCCGCCATCTAGTACTCAGTGGTCTGTGAAGATCTTGCAGCCCTTTCTACATCACTCTTTTTTCAATTCTCATTTGAACAGCCTAGATTAATCTACACATCTGAGTGAAGAGTAACAGAATATTCATGTTAATGTCAGCTGCCAGTGCTTCTTTTTTTTAAAAAAAGTTAAAGGTCTAAGCAGCATATAAATTTGGTTAAGTAAATTGTTTCCTTTTGCTAATTTGCAAATAAAAGTTTTTAAAAATATAAAATATAAAGTATTGCAGCCTGGAGAATTAGAAGGTGCTCAACTAGATTTGAAACAATGTTGACAGAGTATGAGTTGCTTTCAGCCGATACTGAGGGGATGCAGGTTTCTCGTGTTCGTTTTCTGGTAGCTCACTGGATACACAGGCACAGAAATAAATAAATCTGCAGGCTGGGAGATGCCAAAAGGCTTGTTACAGCAGAGAAGGCGCCTTGCGCGTGGAGATGCAACAGCCAAGCGCCCTTCTTATACAGGCGTGACCCCGGCAACTCCTCTCGCTCACTGGTTCCGTGGGCAAGATTCCTGCATGGCAGAGGGTTGGGCTAGATGACCCTCCGCATCCCTCCCAACTGTATGATTCTTTGATTCTGAAAGGCGGGGCCCTTTTTCGCTGCAAGGAGGGCGGGCGGGAGCGGGAGGCCACGGTGCCTGACGGGAGTTGTAGTCGCCGTCGCCGCCCTTGTCTCCTCCCACCGTCGGCGCCTGGCGGTCCAGTGTCGGCCACGCTTCGTCCGTCGGCGGGGCAGCTATGGCAGCAGCAGGCAGGTCGGCGCGGGCGGCGGGGCGCTGCTTCAGCCCCCTGCTCCAGTTTGGCCACCATCACTTGCGCTACGACAGGTACGGGGGGCGGATGGGGGACTGGCTGAAATGGGCTCCTCTCCAATCCTCCTCCTTCCTCAGTGGAGCAGTCGCCCTCTTTCCCCCGTGGGTGGCGGGCAGTGGCGAGCCCCTGCGCAGGCCGCCGAGGATTGGATCCTCTCCTTTTTCTGGCTCTTCCCCCACTTGCACCTCGCCTTGGGGGGGGATATATTAAGGCACCCACCCCGCAAAGATCTATAGCAGGGGACCTACCTGTGTGTAGCCACCGCTGCCATGTAGTTTTCCCGGGGCGGCGCTCTTTTTTGGCGGGGCTGGGGAAGTTCTGCTGCATTTTGCTTTAGATCAGTGGTTCCCAACCTTTTTTTGGCCATGCCCCTCCTAAGCATCTCTAAAATCCTGATGCCACTCCACTTGTGACATATAATTCTGATTGTTCAAAAAATGAACTCCTATTTGCGTGGAGGAAGCCCAAAATGCCATTAACTGTTAACAACTCGTTCTCGAATTTCCCCCCTTAAAAATCAAAGTGCCCCTCTGTGGGGCGTGTGCCCCACGTTGGGAACCACGGCTTTAGACCCTCTCCTCTTTTTGCCGCCCCCTTCATGCAGCTCTTGGGAATTTGCGATGTCTCTCCCAGATTCCCTCCCTGGAGGTGATTTTTCCTCGCCTGGAGGTGTGTTAGCACTCAGAAGGTGCCACAGCACCCAGGCACTCAAAATGGGCTCTCGTGGTGCTTTTTATGTAGTATTTTTAGATCAGTGCGTCTCTGAGGATTGCACCCAATTTTGTGCCTTTTTCTCTGTGTCTCTCTTTTTTCTCCTCCAGTGAAGGGAGAATGAAGGCATCCTGGTGGAGTTTCCTTTCTGTGCAGCTGATAAGGGAGATACTGAGAAACTCTCAGTTACTGAGATGATAAGAAAGCCCTGTGGGGTCGGGCCAAAGGTTGATTTAGTTCAGCGTCCTGTTTCAAACAGGAGATGCCAGGGGTTCCCAAACTGTGGCCTGCAAACCACTTCATTCAGGTGGTCTGCAGCTTGTCTGTGAAAATACAGTAATAAGTCATACAGCACCTAGCATGTTACAATTGCTATAACAGGTGGAAGAATTGTAAAGTGGTTCTCCAAGCCCCTCAGCAATTTTCAAGTGATCTGTGGGGGTAAAGGTTTGGGAACCACTGGACTAGATATTTCCAGGATGCCACAAGAAAAAAATCATTAGACTTTTTCCTTTTGACCCTAAGCAACTGGCTTGTTTGCCTTGTAGTCCTCTTTTAAAGGTCCTGGAGTCCGGCTGTCTGGCAATTATATTGGCAGACTGGTACCTGCATTTTGAATATTTTATTAATGCTTTAATTTTTATTGTTTGTTTTAATATTGTATAGAAGTTTGGAATGTCTGTGTATGTTGCCTTGGAATCCCTTGGATGAAGACATGGGTTAGACATTTTCAAAGAAGGTCATCGTTTGCAGTGGGGATAAGGGGGTGTGGAGTGGGCGGAAGATGCTGGACTTCACTGACTCAAGAGTAAGATGCAATCCGAGTAGCATGAGGATTTCATATCTATAGTTGATGCTTGGTTTGTTAGCTATTCATAGCCCAGAACATGTACACACACACACACCATCTAAGGAAGTGATCTCATAGTAAATTCCATAGCTAAACTTTGTAGTTTGTGCAGAACTTTGTAGAGCAGTACCTCCAGGGATGAATAACCAGCATGTGAGAGATCTGTGTCCTGTTCAAATACTGTCATCAGCTGTGTCATCAGTGCATCTGATTTTGTTAGTAACTTGGTTCTCAGTACAATTTTATAGTTTCCTGTGTGGTGTTTTTATCTCCCTATTGCACCATTCTTTCTATGGGAGTGTTCAGTGAGGCAGGTTACAACAAAGAGAATTTATCAAGCACCACTGAAATGCAAATGAACAATATTTAAAAAACCCTATAACCCACTAATATGTTGATCTGGTCTTTTTGAAACAGTAGCAGCAGGCGTTCATCCTAACTAATAGCACAATGTTGAGAAAGCATGTTGGAATAAAATGGTCTTCTTCGCTGTCTGCCGAAAAGCAGGCAGTGCTCTTCCCTTGGGGGGGGGCATTCTAAATATTGTTGATGTTTCTGGGCAGGCCTCATTCATCTGTTGTACAACCATTAGTGAGGGACACCCCCCCAAAAAAGGCTTATAAAGTGGAATAGAGTTCTTGAACAGTTCTTTGTAGGGGGAAGCAGGAACAGATGGCACAGTGATTATGTCTAACAGTGCTGTCACTTACAGTGGAGCCAAAGCAGTTCACCTCCTGCTGCAGCCACACATCCCTGACCTTGTTGCTAACCTGCCCTACTCCAGGAGCAAATTGCTTACCGTTCGAGCTAGTAAAGGGTCCAGGTAATGTCATCTGGTGTCACCTTACTTCTGGACTGACTTCATGGGCAGCCCAATGCAGAGGATGGCACAGAACTAGTCTAGCTTGGAAGTGATTATGGCTGAAAGACGAAGGAAGGTTTTGATTCGAATGGTCTGTCCACTGAGTTTTGGCCTTCTTAACGAGAGATTTGTTAACAGAACCCACTGTCTAGTTGAAGAGAATGGTTCATCATTCCTAAATCTGTTGTCATTCAGGCAAGTGCTTTCAGAAGCTGTTTCCTTCCTTCTATATGCAATGTTTGTGTACACCCACAGCTAAGAGGAGAAAATGTCACTCAGGAAGCATATGCCACTCAGAGCTTGGCAATATATTAAAAATGCTGGCAAAGCATTGAGCCCTGTTCACCTAAAGAGGAAAGAGTAGAGTTTTGTTTATAATAGAAACATGGGACCTGCGGCCATTCAGTCACTACTCTACTCCAACTCCCATAATCCTTGCTGGCTGGGGCTGATGGGAGCCCAGCTGGATCCCTCTTTTATGATTTTACAGTTTGCATATTAGCAACAGCACAGCTCTGAGTTTTCCCTTACGGGCAAAAAACAGCTTGCATGTCTGCAAAACTGCCCCAGATACTTTTCAGGTGAGTGCATTCAGATCAGCTGAACAATAGTGTACACAGTCGGCTATGATATGTGGCATGTTGCCAACACCCAGAATGAGGTGATTTCAAAGAGTCTTTGTCCTGCAAAACATTCTTGCTATAACTAGCATTGATACAAAAACCCTGACCTGGGTTCCCATGCTGTTGAACACAAAGTGTAGCAAATGGCTGATTCACCAAGCTCCCTCTGTAATCATAATCATACACATGCTGTAAATGCTAAAGGGATGGGCACAATATAAGTTATCTTCTTACTTGCCAACCAGCATTTTATGTCACAGAGAAGTGGCTTTAAAAAGTGGGGCAGGGAGCAAGTTGTTCTCATAGAATCATAGAGTTGGAAGAGACCACAAGGGCCATCGAGTCCAACCCCCTGCCAAGCAGGAAACACCATCAGAGCACTCCTGACATATGGCTGTCAAGCCTCTGCTTAAAGACCTCCAAAGAAGGAGACTCCACCACACTCCTTGGCAGCAAATTCCACTGTTGAACAGCTCTTACTGTCAGGAAGTTCTTCCTAATGTTTAGGTGGAATCTTCTTTCTTGTAGTTTGGATCCATTGCTCCGTGTCCGCTTCTCTGGAGCAGCAGAAAACAACCTTTCTCCCTCCTCTATATGACATCCTTTTATATATTTGAACATGGCTATCATATCACCCCTTAACCTCCTCTTCTCCAGGCTAAACATGCCCAGCTCCCTTAGCCGTTCCTCATAAGGCATCGTTTCCAGGCCTTTGACCATTTTGGTTGCCCTCCTCTGGACACGTTCCAGTTTGTCAGTGTCCTTCTTGAACTGTGGTGCCCAGAACTGGACACAGTACTCCAGGTGAGGTCTGACCAGAGCAGAATACAGTGGCACTATTACTTCCCTTGATCTAGATGCTATACTCCTATTGATGCAGCCCAGAATTGCATTGGCTTTTTTAGCTGCCGCGTCACACTGTTGGCTCATGTCAAGTTTGTGGTCAACCAAGACTCCTAGATCCTTTTCACATGTACTGCTCTCAAGCCAGGTGTCCCCCATCTTGTATTTGTGCCTCTCATTTTTTTTGCCCAAGTGCAATACTTTACATTTCTCCCTGTTAAAGTTCATCTTGTTTGTTTTTGCCCAGTTCTCTAATCTGTCAAGGTCGTTTTGAATTGTGATCCTGTCCTCTGGGGTGTTAGCCACCCCTCCCAGTTTGGTGTCATCTGCAAATTTGATCAGGATGCCTTTGAGTCCATCATCCAAGTTGTTGATAAAGATGTTGAATAAGACCGGGCCCAAGACAGAACCCTGTGGCCCCCCACTAGTCACTCTTCTCCAGGATGAAGAGGAACCATTGATGAGCACCCTTTGGGTTCGGTCAGTCAGCCAGTTACAAATCCACTGAGTGGTAGCATAGTCAAGACCGCATTTTACCAGCTTCTTTACAAGAATATCATGGGGCACCTTGTCAAATGCCTTGCTGAAATCAAGGTAGGCTACATCCACTGCGTTCCCTTCATCTACCAGGCTTGTAATTCTGTCAAAAAACGAGATCAGGTTAGTCTGACATGACTTATTTTTCAGAAATCCATGCTGACTATTGGTGATCACAGCATTCCTTTCTAGGTGCTCACAGACTAGTCTAGTTCTGCTAGTCAACGGCACCCGGATCAAGTGCATATGCAAAAGGCTGTTGCTTTTCAGTCTTTCTCCTTCACAGGTTTGGGAGAGAGATTAATCTTTTATCTGCTGGAAGAAGGTGTGAATAAAAATTCCCACCCAGTAGCACAAGACTGAGGCCTGTGTTCCCTTGACCTGGACCACTGCTGCCTCCACCCAAGTCCTGCTGGTGGGAAAACACAAGGCTGGAGCTAGCTGATACATCACTATTTTAAACAGACACCTTTGAAAGTGTTCCTGCTTCTCTTCTCATTGTTTGTCACTGTCTTGTTTCAGAGGCTTGTCCTTTGCCTTCAGCACTGCTGCACAGCAGAGGAGCACAGGCGATGACTGTGGTCCAGAAGACCCTCCTGATGAGCCTAGACATCTCCTGAACGAGAACAGTTTAGAGCTCAAAGCCACCAAATTGGAAGAACAAGTCCGTGTCTTAACAGTATGTATCGTCCTTAACTTGGCTCTTTGCCCTAACACGTTTTTTTTTTTTTAGGTTTCAGCTTTTGTGTGTCTTAAGTACCCAGTCCCAAAGTCTACAGCATGCAGTAGTCAAAAGATCAGATTAGTAGAATTAGATAGCATCCCCTGCTGCCACTCTTCCCCCGCAACCCCTGCAGCATAACTCCTTCCACTGTTGCCAGCCTCCTCCTCCTCCAGGCAGGCTAGCTGGTGGTGAAAGCAGATCAGAACAAGTGTCTGTTTGTTTGGGTCCCTTCCGGCTGGTAGAGAAAAGGGAGGATGACGACAAAGGTCTACCAGCAAGATGTCAGTTCCAGGGGGCCCTGCCAGGGTGTGCAGGCCTCAGCATTTGCCTGACCAGCCTGAGAGCTGACACTAGGCCTGGTGTACAGCACTGCAGCCGTCATTGTTATGTGCACTGAATTTACTCTTAAGCATTTTATAAATATAACCAGGCTATTTATTGTGTGTCCGTTACTTTTCCAAACATAGAGCTAGGACAATAGTCAAAACATTCCAGAACAGCAGATACCCAGCTGGTGACATCTCTAGTGACCATCACTGCTGCCTGCCTGGGCTCTTTAAAGAGGGGCCAGGCAAAAGGAACAACTCCGAACTGTTGTTTTCCACACAGGGCGAAAGCACCGTTCTGTGTAGCAGTGCCTGTCCTTCCTGTCATCCACTAAATGCTCACTGTGATGGGTTGCGTTTGTGCACTCACAATCCATCAGTATTCAGTAAGCAAGGGGGAAGTCTACATGCACACTCTCCAGATAGCATGAGCAACAGTGTCTAGAGACCGTCATTAGACTTTTTCCTGTGCTCAGCATGGGGGGGGGGCAATGGCGGCAGACCATTTTTGCTTAGACAAGCCTATCCAGACAAGCAGAGGGTTGATATGTGTGCTTCATCTGGTTCTCTGCTGATTTTAGTTGTTATTATTTGTTAATGTTTTAGGTAGTTGCTTTTAACTGTGTTTTTACTGATAATCTTAGGGTTTTTGTCTTTTTGTACACTGCTTTAAGGTTTTATTACCGTCAAGCTGTATATACATTTTGCGAAATAAATGTAATAAATAAGGCATGTTAGTAGATGCTGCTTTCACATATTCCCATTTTCTTTCTGCTGCAAAAGTATGCATGCATGTACATCTGCTGTAGCTATTCCTTGCCATTGTTTGTTAGTTGAAGATGGTAATGAAGTGGGGTGGGGAGATCTTTAGGTCTTTTTCAATACGGCCCATTCATTTCAGCAGGAAGTCACACAGGCAATGTGCTTTATCTAAGAGCAGCAACTGAAGGCTGTGTATGTCAAGCAAAGCTGCCCTCAACCCTCGTGGTCCAGGCTTGCAGCATTATAGATGGCTCATTGACCTGTTGCTTTGGGTGATGTTCTTGTCTGACTCTGCTTCTTTCTATGTGCAGGAACGGTACCAAAGAGCACTGACAGATTCTGAAAATGTTAGGCGGAGGACGCAGAAGTTTGTCGAGGATGCTAAGATATTTGGTGAGTAAAAAGGGTGCTAGTATTGTGCAGAGCTTGTACCTATCACCCCATGTGCTCTGCTTTGTTTGTTTATTTAAGGCATTTATATACCACCCTTCAAAATGTTTATCTCAGGGTGGTTTATGTTGCAAATAAAACAGCAGTACATCTATCTGGGTTGGTTTTTTTTTAAAAAAAGGTTTGACTGTCAGTATTTGCTGGACCTTGATTGTTCTTTTATACAGAGAATGTTATAAGGACTGAGACTCTAATGCATTGTGTCTGCCCTTTGAACAGTCATCCTCACCTTTCTGATCTATGTATCTATAGGCATCCAGAGTTTCTGCAGAGACCTGGTAGAAGTGGCAGATATCTTGGAGAAGACCACCGAGAGTACCACAGGGGGAGAACACGATGACCCAACTCTGACTCTCAAGAAGATATGCGAAGGCTTATCTCTCATAGAGTCCAAACTGCAAAGCATATTTGTGAAGCATGGCCTGCAGAAAATGAACCCCATTGGTGGCAAATATGACCCCTACGATCATGAAATAGTCTGTCATGTGCCAGCAGAGGAAATGCAGCCAGGCACTGTGGCATTAGTGACTCTGGATGGTTATAAACTTCACGGCCGCACTATTAGACATGCGCATGTAGGTGTGGCAGTAGAATCACACGAATGAGGTGGACACGTTTTATAAATACTTGAGACCTGAATGGACTGATTTCTCTGTCCACATGACTGTTGCTGCTATAGCATGGATTTTTATTTATTAAGCCAAATTTGTTACCTGCTGGCCTCTCAGGATGGGTTGCAATGGCCTGATCTTCACTTCCAAGACATACAGCTAATTTAATATTACTTGTTTTGTGTCATAAATGGTGTTTGTTCCCCCCCCCCCAGCTGTTTCTCAGTCAGAGGTAGTGCTGTGACTTTTCTGGCTTTCCATTAAATTCTGTTGTGGGTTTTGAGGGGAAGGAGGACTCCTAATAATTCCTAATAAGGGAAGGGCCGTAATTCCAAGAAGGGAAGGGAAGTAGCTCAGTTGTAGACCAATGTTGTATGCAGAAGGTACCATTTTGGTCCCTGGCATCTCAAGGCAATATTCAAAATACTGAAACCAGTCAGGGTAGACAAAGGGGTAGTCCTCCAGGATGCTGTGGAATACAGCTCCCATCAGCCCCAGACAGCATGAGTAATGATCAGGGGTGATGGGAGCTGTAGTCCAGAAGGTTGACTACCCATGGTGTAGATAATACTGACCAGTGGTCTAACTTGGTATAAGTGATTAAATTAGAACTTTCTGTGTTCTTACAAATGCACTCTGCTTTCCTTGAATTTTGGTTCAGCTGCTGCAACCTCTGCTTTTCTATATGTAAAGTGGGAATAATATACCTGCCTACCTCCCAGAAATGCTACAATTATTTATCAGCTGTAAAGCATTTTGAAAACAAGTGATGAGTAGTGTGAAGGGGCTTTGATACCCAGCAGAAGTGTGTCTGGAGGTGTTAATTTGTAAATTCTTTCTGCAGTTGGAGATCTTCCTCAGGTTACTTGGCTATTTCAACCCTGTGAAATCTCCACTGTGGTATGGATGAGTCCTTTCTCATTGCCATTTAAAATACTGGACAAAATGGGCCAGTAGCTCAACAGTTTAAGGAAACAAAATAGACTTTTTGTGAAGATTCAGGTTTATTGGCCATAAATTCCCCCTCAAATTATGTACCCCAGTTTTCAAGCACAATTTGCTATGTTATCGATGCTGGAAGAGATGGAATGGTCTTGTACTCCAAAAGGGAAGTATAGTCTTTCGAGTTTGAGCTCACAAGTAATTGCTATGCAGATGGCACTGTGAAAAATCTGGATTCGGAGACTACTAGATTAGACATCAAAATATATGATTTGTTTTTTATTTAGTATTTTTTTAAAAAAAGAGAGTGTCTATGCAAAGTGTACTTCAGCTAATTTCAGTAAAAATAGCAAGAAAATTATCAGATCAGAGTTTCAGCCGAAGTTTTAAGGGGACTTCCAGCTAGAGAATAAATTGGTATCATTCTGTAAACAAGTGGATGCTTGATTCTGATCAGTTTTTGTGTGACAGGTAAGCTAAACATGCAAGCGTGAAAAATCCTAACTCTATTTGAGAGACGATTGAGGTAACCCAACATGTTGGCTTCATTCTGAACCCTAGGTGAAAGTTCAAAGAAATGAATCTTTGTGAGGGTGGCCTTATTTTTGACTCACACCCACTTCCTTTTTCAGAGGAGTTTTGTCCTGTCTTGCTATCTTGTCTAAGTTTGGTTAGAATTAATCAGCTGAAAGTTCCAGATGCTGCTGGCTCCCATGTTATTTGTATTAGCTTTGTCTGTACTGTCAAGAGAGAGATCTCTTGACTCTGAAATTATAAAAATGATTCAAGTTGGTATTTATTTCCAGGATTTCCTTCCTACCATATACATTCTTGTGTTAGTTAGTCAGAAAGAAGTGGTGTTTCATGTGAGCATATTCAGCAGTGGGCTTTGGGCTCTCAGATTTCAGCGGCAACGCTAAAATTCAGTGCCCCCTCCCACTACTTGTGCTTGATTCTACAGCATTGTTGTGGTGCCCCCTGCAGGGCGGCACCCAATGTGGCCAAACCAGGCACGCTACCCTAAAACCACCTCTGGCATATTCTCAGGCAGATGTACATGAACTGAATTAATCCACAAAGGGTTATCTGCATCACCAATTTGGGGGGGGGCAACTTTGGGCTATAAGTGAATGATCCTTAGAGCAATATAAGAGATTGTTAGAGCACATTTCTAATTTAAAATAGATTTGTATTTTTTTTCCCCAAGGCAAAAGAACAAAATATTTTTCCAGCACAGTCATGCATGTTTGCTCAGAAGTTCCATAGGAAATAAGATTTAAATTGCATCTTGAACTGCAGTCCTGTGAACTGAGCAAGACCCGCTGAGTACAGTGGGCTTGTTTCCAAGAAAACACAACAGATTACAGTGTTTGTCTTCCAGTTGTTGACTTGCTCAAAAAAGCGGCGAGCTATTTATGTGTACAATACAAATCCATACAGTTGAATGCTGCATTTATTAAACCAAAAGTTTTTGCTTTTGCTGGGTAAGGAAGACAAATCAAGATGTTCAGAACATAACAATGTATTGAAATCACTCTGCACCATATTCTTACAAATAAAAGTTACCTTTACAAGACTGAAACATGTGGTATTGACTTTGAATGCCTCCTAAAGAGGATGTGCCCAGTCAGAAATTTAGAAATGTTTGATTTCTTGCCATTTTGAAATCAGCCGGAATCTTGGAAAAAAGGTAATTTAACTGCATTTGTTTTGATTTAGCACACATGCCAGAGGGGTTATATTCTGCATGCACCATGGCAACAGCCACTACCCAATGTTTAATTTCTTCAGTATTAAATAAAAGAGCATGCTAGCCTAAAATGCACTCTGGTTAAATGCTTTGGATTATTATTAGCTCTTTGCAGGGATTCCCACAGGGCGATGTTGAAGTCGTCAACATTCATGTCACGTTTTCAGACACTTGAGTTGGTCTGCCGAAGGTCCAGGTGCCTGAAGCCAGCTCTCTCTGCTTCGCCATCAGGTTAACTGCGCCAGCAGCATGTGCTGAACTCGGCAGGCAGTGCTTTTTTCACTTGCAACCCGAATGTCGAAATCCCCTATTTATTCAGTGATGCCTGCACGGGAAGCTTCGAAGTGTGTGAAAAGCAAACCAACCCTTCCAAGCAAGCAGGCTTGGATGTTTACACCCAAGACAGGGCTGGCAAAAATGGCACCTCGGTGGCCCACCCCTCTTTAAGCTGCAGGAGATGCAAAGATGGAGACGGGCTGCAGAGTGGGGCCCTTCCCCTTGCAAGCTGAGTTCAAAAGAACCAGCACGCCTTCCTAGGAAAGGCGCGGATCCACGGCCGACCACAAAAGGCGGCAAGAGCTTCTTCTGCTTGCGGCTGCACAGTTCCCAGTTTTAAGCTTCGAAAAACAGCAAATGATGAATGGTAATTAAGCGGGGAAGCCGCATGGCAAATGAAGAACGGGGGGAAGGGAATCGGAGCAAGACTCAGAGCTGAAAGCATCGCGTTTAAGCATTTGCGCGCTTCGCGAAGAAAACCTAACGCGGCAACCTCGAGGCCATTGCGCGCTGCAAGCAAAGGGAAGCCCCGGCCCTCCAGGTGCGCTTCGCCTTCAACTCCCGTCAGCCCTTGCACTTCATGAACGACGGTCGAGGATGACGGGAGTTGTAGTCCGAAAGCCTGGCGCGCGGCGGGTTCCCTGTTCGAGGTTGCATCCTCGGCTCAGAAGGGGCGTCTCTTGAAGGAGGCCGCCTCTCGCCCCTTGCACTCCGCGAAGAAGGCGGCGCTGCGAGAGGCGCAGCCAATGCCGAAGCCAAGCCCTTGCTCCCGCCTCGCTCCTTCGGGAAGCGCTGCTGGCGAGTGGACAGAGGCGAGAGGCTCCCCCGCCAGCCCCGCAGCCGAGAAGCTGTCGGGCAGGCGAGCGAGTCGGACCTCGGCTGCGCGGACATGTAAACTGCGCACGTCGCGCTTTGCGTTCCCGCCTCCTGCGCCGCCGCTGCCAACATGATGGCAGCCTCGCATCGGCTGCTTTTGTTGCTCACCGTGGTAGCTGTAGGGGTGATGCGGAGGAAGCCCCCCGTCGTTGCGGCAGGGGATGCTCCGCCCGGCAAAATAGGTAGGCGCTGCTGTCGAAATCACAGGCGCGCAAGCACGGGGCGCTTGGGTTTTTACGCGTCTAAGCGAGGCCTCCTGGACGGAACGGGCGTCCGTCCTGTGTGAGGTTGTCGACGGGGGTGTGAGGGAAGACAAGTGTGTAAGATACGAAACAAATAGTCCCGAGGATGAGGCTGCACGGACCTGTCAGGGCATGCAGGAGGCTAGGGCTGAATAATTGGCATTAAGGATGCTTCTGAGGTGGGGAAATAGGAAGCTGCCTTCTACTGAACCAGACTGTTGGTCCATTTAGCTCAGGATTGTCCACACTGACAGGCAGCAGCTCTTCAGGCTTCCAGACGATGACTTCTCCCAGCCCTACCTGGATATGCCAGGGATTGAACCTGCTCTGCAGCTGAGTGATGGCCCTTTCCCCTTAAGCACAGGCCGTGTTTGCCTGCTAGTCACACATTCTCCAGTATGACATTTGTCCCAGGATTCGTCATTATTGTTTATAATACTAGCAGCCACCATAACAAAGGCACACAAAGCCTTTGTTGACAAGAATAAGATGGCAAGTTGCTCAGGGGTAGCCAGAGGATGTTGGACTTTGAGAGGCATTTGGGGCTGATTTACACAGCACAGTGGTACCTCGGGTTACAGACGCTTCAGGTTACAGACTCTGCTAACCCAGAATTAGTACCTCGGATTAAGAACTTTGCTTCAGGATGAGCACAGAAATCGCATGGTGGCGGCGCGGCGGCAGCAGGAGGCCCCATTAGCTAAAGTGGTGCTTCAGGTTAAGAACAGTTTCAGGTTAAGAACGGACCTCCAGAACGAATTACGTTCTTAACCCGAGGTACCACTGTAGTTCTTTCTATAGCCACTCATCACCCCTGACTTCTGTACTTGAGTGAGTTTTGATAATGGGAAAGGGGGCTTCAGCTAAATATTAGGAAGGATCTCCTGGTGGTAGGGGCTGTTTGCCAGTGGAACAGAGCAGAACAGGAAGCCTTGGAAAGTGGTGGCCTTTCCTTCAGTAGAAGTTTTTAAGCAAAGGCTGGCTGGCCATATATGAGGAATGCTGTGGCAGTAGGTTTCCTGCATGGACCAGGGCTTGGACAAGATATTTTATCGCTTTATTATTACAATTAAAATTCTGTTGGGAGCCACACAGAGTGGCTGGGGAAACCCAGCCAGATGGGTGAGGTATAAATTATTATTATTATTATTATTATTATTATTATTATTCCTTAAGGTGCCTTAACTCTGTAGCTGGGAAATGTGTACCTGACCACTTTGATGAAGATTTCCTGTACTTAATGAGCACAAAATCATCAGAGCATTTGTTGGTATTTAAGATGCCACAGGACTCAGGTCACTTTGCTAGATGCTTCCATGGCTACCATTTTGGAACCAATCAAAATCTTAAAATCATTCATGGTGGGCTTTTTCTTGCTCTGTAGGTTTTTTTTAATTAAAAGAAAATACTACTACATTTTTGAGCATATGCAGACAGCAGCAACTTGCCATGTAAAGTAATTGATGTGATATTTGGCATAAAGCTGCAGCTTGGTACACACGTCTCTCTCTCTCTCTCTCTCTCTCTCACACACACACACACACACACACAGAGAGAGAGAGAGAGAGAGAGAGTTAACCATGTTGAGAGATTCAGATGAAAGCTTGCTGTGGCCTTCTGCAGAACTTTCCCTTGCTTCATAGCAACAGTTTTCATTTGGCGAAGAACATGGGTAAAATATCAGGCCAAATGACTGGGTTGGAAAACCTACCTCTTCATTGTGTGGCATCCTCCCTGCAGGACAAAGGATTGTTTAAGGGTCTGTGTGTGTAAGATGAGCAACCTGCTGGTCCTTTGGGGAGTGGGGTGGGTGGTCAGAGGTGGGCATGCATCTGCTCTGCCTTATCCTCGCCCCTCTGCTTTTGCCTTGGCAGCTGTAGTGGGAGCTGGGATTGGCGGCTCTTCGGTGGCCCACTTCCTGCAGCAGCACTTTGGGCCACAGGTGCAACTGGACGTGTACGAAAAGGACACCGTTGGGGGCCGCCTGGCCACGGTCACTGTCAACAAACAGCAGTATGAAATCGGTGGTGCCTCCATTCACTCTCTCAACTTACACATGCAGGACTTTGTTAAGCTGCTGGGTGAGTGTGGGTACAATCATCACACTGGAAACAATTGCATTCGGGCCAAGTTTCGTAGCCCGTACAAAATCTGCAAAACGTTGTAAAAGCAGAAGGCTGCATTGCCTGCGCTCCCTGACTCATGAAAGAGGACAGAAAGTAGCCTTACTCTTCTACCTCATTGTCCCCTTATCCTAGGGCTGAAGCACCGTCGAGAATTGGCCGGGAAGAGCGCCATCTTTAGCGGGGAGCAGTTTGCCCTAGAGGAGACAGACTGGTACCTGCTGAACCTCTTCCGACTCTGGTGGCACTACGGCATGAGCTTCCTGCGCCTACAGATGTGGGTGGAGGAGGTAATGGAGAAGTTCATGAGGTATGTGACGGAGGTGGTGGAACCTCTGGAGAGGGAAAGAGGGTGGTCTTCCTTCTCCTTTAATCCCAGAAAGTCTCCAGCTAGGCTGAAGAGATGCACTGAACTTCCTTTAGATCTCCTGGCTGCTCCAGATTTGTCTCCTCCTTTTTTGTGTCCTGCAGGATCTACAAATACCAGGCCCATGGCTATGCGTTTTCTCGCCTTGAGGAGCTCCTGCATTCGCTGGGTGGGGACACGTTTGTCAACATGACACAGCGCTCTGTGGCAGAGTCCCTGCTGGAGGTGGGCATCACACAGCGCTTCATTGACGAGGTCATTGTGGCCATTCTCCGTGCCAGCTATGGCCAGTCAGTACCGGTGCCTGCGTTTGCAGGTGAGTGCCACCTTTTGCTATCTTGCTGCAGACCAACCAAGCAAGGCCAAAGGTGTCTCTTTCCAGTGGAGCACTGACTGATCTCAATATTGCCAGAGGAAATGGTGTCTTCATTACTTTATTATTATTCTGACACCTAACCCCTCTGTATTTCTATCTTCAGGGGCCATGTCCCTAGCAGGGGCACAGGGCAACATGTGGTCTGTGGAAGGTGGCAACAACCTGGTGTGTTCAGGCTTGCTGAAGCTGACGAAAGCCAACATAATTGAGGCCACTGTGACAGCAATTTCTCTGCACAACTCAGGTAAGCTGCTCAGAGCTGAAAGAGAACCAGGATATCTTGGGTAACAGGACTGGGCACTACCTTTGCTTGAGACCTTGAAGATCAAGTCAGCTAGATCTGGGGTCACCAACCTGGTGCCCTCCAGATGTTGCTGGAGCATAACTCCCATCATCACTGACCATTGGCCATGCTGGCTGGGCAAGGACAGGGTTTGGCAAACAATGATGAGAAGGAGACCAGCTCAGATCTCCTAAGGAACTAAAACAGGGATCATCAGGGGGCCGGTTCACTGTCCCTCAGACCTTGTGGGGGGGCAGACTATATTTTTTTTTGGCGGGGGAATGAATGAATTCCTATGCCCCACAAATAACCCAGAGATGCATTTTAAATAAAAGGGCATATTCTACTCAAGTAAAAACATGCTGATTCCCAGACCTTCCATGGGCCAGATTTAGAAGGCGACTGGGCTAGATCTGGGCCCCGGGCCTTAGTTTGCCTACCCATGAACTAAAACTTTCCAATTCAGTTGAACTTCTCTTAAGAGACCTTATTATGGACAGCAGCTGGTATACCACCCAATGGCCTTGCATGGCAGGGGCGAAGTTGAGGGATCACTTTAACTTTACATTTCCTTACTTGTGTCTTGAAAATGCTTGCAAAGAAGGAGCCAGAACATGCCTGCAGACAAGAATCTGCAGGAAGTGGGTCTTGGGACCTTCTTTGCTATTCACTTGTCTCAGCGCCTTTCCAGATGATCAGTTGGTTGCACAAGAAATTATAAACAATGCATATTTACTGCACAGACTCTGCATTTCTCCACTGTTCTGTTGCAGGGACGTCATGTTTTCTGAGCACTAAAAAGTACAATATTTTATACTTGGGAAAATCCAGTGTTGTCTCTCGGTTGTGCATTCATTACCGTTGTGATTACTTTATGTAGATGTGACCAGGCACTAAAAAGTACAATATTTTATACTTGGGAAAATCCAGTGTTCTCTCTCAGTTGTGCATTCATTACCGTTGTGATTACTTTATGTAGATGTGACCAGGCAGGTGTGACAAGTTGAATTCTTTTGTGATGCAGTCAGTGAGGAGCAACAAAACTCTCTCCTTATGTACCTGGATCATTTAGTATTGGATCATTTTAAAACAAAAAAAATTGAAAAAATCTTAAGAGACTATGTTTTCTTCACAGTAGGAATCTTTATCAAAAGGTATTTCTCTTTAAGCACTTACAATAGGCTAACTCCCACCCTTTTCATATTCCTCATCCCTTCCTATATTTCATTATTTTTGTTAATTGTATAGGCAGTAGATAATATCCAGCGTTAGCCATACTCAGAGAATATCCATTGACATCAGTAGACAAGTTGTTTAAATCCATTGACATCAATGGGTATACTCTTGAGTGTGACGTAGTTGGCCTTAGCCCAATAGAGCTTGCTGAAACACATCATTGCTACATTAATTTTATTTATTAAATTTGAATGCTGCCGTATATCCATAAATCTCAGGATAGTTCGCAACATAAAATTACAGTATGAAAAACACAATTGTTCTGCTGCTGCTGCATTCACATGCTTTCATTTTATGCCACTGTGAACCTTACAGTCTCATGCTTGCTATCTCACAAGCTGTTGAGTACTTCCAGATGCTGCTTGACTACAAACTCCCTTGATCCTTGACCGTTGGCCAATGCTGGCTGGGGCTGATAGGAATTGGAGTCCAATAACATCTGGAGAAGTACCACCTTGGTCACCCTTCCTGCAGCTTATCAGCCAGATCTGGTGTTAATAGTTAACAGTGCTCCTTTCGATGGTGTACCCAAGGCTGAGACATCCGTAGACGTACACACCCTCGCTTTCGTATGCTCCAGTATTTTGGTCTTGCCTAGTATCACTTGCATCTGTGTACACAGAAGGTGAGAAGATTCCCCACCAGCGTACTAGTGGACAGTCAGAAATGTAGTCGCTCTTTACTCTTATATCTGTTACTTGTGCAAAATGTATATCGACTCTATGTATCTGGTCTAGCTCACCAGGCAGGGTCTGGAAGCTTAAACCAGCAACAACAAGAAAATAATAAGAAACAGAGGGGAAGGGGTTAACTAAGGAACATGGAGAACCACAGAGCCTTGGCAGATTGTTGAAGAAGCTTTCCAACTTCTAGGTCTTACCCATTTAGCTCCTTAAAACCTTCAGCAGGATGTGTATCTGAAGAAGTGTGCATGCACATGAAAGCTCATACCAAGCTCATACCAAGAACTAACTTAGTTGGTCTTTAAGGTGCTACTGGAAGGAATTTTTTTTTGTTTTGACTATGGCAGACCAACACGGCTACCTATCTGTAACTTCAGCAGGATGTGAGGGTAGTTGTTGTGTATTTGAGTTGCTGTTTTGAGCGCTCTCTCTCTCTCTCTCTCTCTCTCCACTCTTTCCAGAAGGAAAAACCTTCTACCAGGTGCACTATGAGGACGAGGAAGGCCAAGGCTCTAGCTTCTATGACATCGTGGTCATTGCTGCTCCACTGCATAATAACAAGAGCAACATCAGCTTCCAGAACTTTGACCCTCCCATTGCTGAGTTCCCAGGGACCTTCCACACCACGGTCACTTCTGTCATCCATGGCTACCTCAACTCCTCTTATTTTGGCTTCCCAGACCCAAAGCTCTTCCCCTTTGCCAGCATCCTCACCACAGATGCTCCTGTCCTCTTCTTCAGTTCCATGGACAACATTTGCCCCGTCAACATATCCAGTACCTTCCGGCGGAAGCAGCCCCAAGAGGCAGCCATCTGGCGAGTCCACTCCCAGCACCCCTTGGAGAAGCAAGAGCTGAAGACTCTGTTCCGTTCCTACTACTCTGTCCAGGTGACAGAATGGCAGGCCTATCCTGACTATGGGTCTTCCAAGAGCCTCCCGCCCATTGTCCTCCACGATAACCTCTACTACCTCAACAGCATGGAGTGGGCAGCCAGCTCAATGGAAATGGCTGCAGTGGCAGCCAAAAACGTGGCCCTCTTAGCCTACAACTTCTGGAATCGTGACCTAGAGAAAATAGACCAGAAGGACCTGATGCACAAAGTGAAGACCGAGCTGTGACTTTATAGCAGTTGCTGCTAGAGAAGACTTTCCAGGGAACTCTCCTTTAGTGCATGCAGGGTGGGAATTGGGGTAGGGGTGGGGGGTATTGAAGGATTACACTGGAGGCTTAGCAAGGAGAGAAACAGAAGACTTGCCATACATCCCCATGTGTCTATTGTCTACAATAAGTGCATCCCCCTTCCTGCTATGTTTCGAAGAGTCTGTGGGTCAATATCTACATGTGGCCAGCTAGTAAGGCTTCCTCTTGAGATAACCTTGGAAGGGACCTGAGCTGGTTAATGGGGAACATCATATACTGATTCCAGTCTTGATGGGCTGGTTTTCTGCTTCAGGCTAAGTGCTCCTTACCTGCTGTCCCATATCCATGCACTGCCACTATCCATGACTGTTCAGGGCAAAACTAAACCCTGTCCTAGAATGGATGGATTGCCTCCTAAGCCTCTGCAGTCCTGACCCCCAAGTTAATTTGTGTTGGCCTTTCTCTTTATGCATAGGCCTCTATACTTAGGGATGCGGGTGGCGATGTGGGTAAAACCTCAGCGCCTAGGACTTGCCGATCTCACGGTCGGCGGTTCGAATCCCCGCGGCGGGGTGCGCTCCCGTTGCTCAGTCCCAGCGCCTGCCAACCTAGCAGTTCGAAAGCACCCTCGGGTGCAAGTAGATAAATAGGGACCGCTTACTAGCAGGATGGTAAACGGCGTGTCCGTGTGCGGCTCTGGCTCGCCAGAGCAGCTTCGTCACGCTGGCCACGTGACCCGGAAGTGTCTGTGGACAGCACTGGCTCCCGGCCTCTAGAGTGAGATGAGCGCACAACCCTAGAGTCTGTCAAGACTGGCCCGTACGGGCAGGGGTACCTTTACCTTTACCTTTACTCTATACTTAAGGGAACGGGCAGAGCGCTGTCTTTGATGTGACTCCTTTTTGTGTCTTTGTGTGTTTCTGTTTTCCATCCAAAACAATGTTGTTCCTTTTGCTTTGTTGCCAAGCTTCATGAACTTGCCTCTAATTGTAGTCAGCTAGAGAGCCCTGAGTTGGGTCTCCTGGTATTGGCTACAGCTCAGGTTCTAACACCCTTTTGACTCTGACTGCCTGTACATATGTGAAACTGCATAAACCACTGCCCTGATCGCCTCAGATCCTTGCAGCTAATGGCTGATGTTGCCTTGCCCTGTGTATGATTGGGGGGGAGGTGAAGGGTATAATCCCCCTATTGGCAAAAAAGCAGATGGTTTCCATTGTTTCCCAACCAGAAGGAATTGCTGTATAAACACCTGGAACCTTTCCTGATTTGGTACTGTATGCTGTTTTCTGGAGCTGATTCTGTAGCTCCCGAAATGGTGACTATTGTACTCCTTGCCGTGCTGCTGATCTAGAGCCCTGCTCACCCCCTAGATTCCTTCCTATGGTCAAGGGATAGCTTGCTGAGTTGTCAAGAGCAAAGCTTCCTCTTGAGCAAAATTACCAGCCAGTGAGTTCTGCCATTTCCCAGAAAGGACAAAGCTACTAGGAGCTGATATCGTTCTCTAATCAAGTTCTGCAGAGCTGAGCACTTGCATGGGGCTGCTCTGTGAAATGCTGGGAAACTGAGCGAACTGAAAGGAAAACTACCCGTTGTTTTCTCCCCAGTGCTGCAGCATTCTGGCACAAAGGCAGCCCCCACATAGATTCAGGAGTGGCCTTCAGGTGTTGCTGGACTCACACTCACATCAGCCGCAGCCAGAAGAGCCAGTGGTCAGGGAGGATGGGAGTTGTAGTCCACCAACTTCTGGAGGGCTGCAGGTTGACCACCCCTGCCTTAGCATGTGGCTCCCTCTCTCGCACTGTTTTGCTTAAGGGTCTTGCCTTCCACAAGCCAGAACTGTCTCCACCGCCACCCTTCCTAGTCCTGGACTTCTCAGCCTGTGATGCTGCCTTGCACGAAGGCAGACCACTGGCCCATCAAAACCAGCCTTGTCTGTGTTCACTGAGTGCACTTTCCCAAAAGTCTCGGATAGGGATCTTTTGGCAGCTCTGCTGCCTGAGAACCATTTTAACAGAGCTGCCTGTGGTTAAACCTGGCACCTTTGAGCGTACAAAAAGAAATCCTGGGTTCTTGTCAGCGAGCTGTGGCTCTGCACCAAGGGATGCTGCTTCTGATATGTGCAGAAGGGTTGCGGGTTCCCAAAATGGCCATGGTCCTTGTCTCTGGGGTGTCATGAATAATGGGTTGCCTGAGGATCTCTTGCTAGCTCCTGAGTCTATTTAGTCTTTGCCACACATGCCAAAGCTGCGGTGCTTTTTCCCTGGCCAAGCATTTTGCTGATACCTAGGCCCTGTGAACAGGGCTGCCAGCACAGGACTCTGAGAACTGCTTGGTATTAAGATAAGACATCTCCTTGTTAGTTTTGTGTGAGGTGTACAAGAGCCTGCCAAGTAGCCTTGAAAGGCCTCTCCTTCTCCACCAAGCACAGACTCTCCTGCTCCCACACAGAAGGCAGCAGGGCACTGTCAAAAAAGCAATGGCCTAGCTTTGGGCCTTCAGCTGACACAGAAGATGTGTCCTATCAAAGCCTCCATTTTGGTAGTGCAACCCAGTAGGGAGGAGGACATGGAAGGGCCTCTTTGCATGGTGACGTCACTCTGGCCTAAGCCCTGAGCAACTCCAGCAGATGGGCTGCAGTCAGCTTGCAAACTGAGCAGCCGTCAAGCCAGTGCTAAAGGGCTTTGAGCCCCAGATGGAGGGCAAAATGGTTGAAGCCGCTGCACCTTCGTTGGATCTCCTTCCTTCCTCTGCAGCAGCCACACAGCAGCTTCCCTTTCTGCTGAACTCCTGATTGAGCAGGCGTGCCTGGCAAAGAGTAAAAACTGGCACCAGTGACTAGATTCAGAGCTATTAGGGTGAAATGAAGCAATTTGCTCTGGATCCGGGTCGGATACAGTTAATTGCCATTTGTGCGACACAGAAAGCACTCAAGGTTGTGGGTTTGATCCCCATTCAGGTCAGCTGCATATTCCTGCATTGCAGAGAGTTGGACCAGATGATCCTCAAGGTCCGTTCCAGCTCTACGATTCTAATTTCTTGCTGTGTGCATGTGGTGCTGTCAGCCTCTCTGTGGGTTATAGAAGAGAAGGAATCCAACAAAAGCAGCTTTGGCCTCTGGAAGCACATGGACCTTCCCTCATCTTGGCAGGAGAAAAAGCACGTTCTGGGAGAACGGAAGGGGGAGATGAGGCTAGGAAGACGGGAGCGCTACTAACCCTTAGGGAACCCGAAGCAGGAATAGCAGCTCTGCTCTCTGGGGGTTCTCAGAAGATGCAAGTGCAGCCCACAGCAATGGTCTCCATCACGGTCTTGTACTCCTTGCGGCACCTCTTCTTCTTCCGGCTGGGGTTGCTTGGCTCACACAGCAGTCGGCGCACTGGGATTTTGCTGTGGATGGGGATGCTGACCATGGTGCGGTCTTCCTGCATGGTGAAGGGATTGATGCACCCAGCACACAGGCAGTGTGCCTCTGGGATGTTGGCTGGGATTCGTGCTGCGTCGTGGTTGATCCTGGAGTGGAAACGTGCTGACATCAGAACAAGCACATTCATTTGGGGGGCAGAGCGGGTGGGGCTACTGAGGATAGGAAGGCAGGTCACATACATACCTAGCGGCGCCCCAGAATTTTGGGGTAACAACCACCATCTACCATAGCACCTTCCAGTGCATGTGTAAGTTAACTCATGAAAGTTAACTTGGACATGCACTGGAAGGTGCGACAGGAGGTGACTTGCTGAATCCTCCCAGAGAGGCCCATAAAATGTAGGAGGACCTACTTGATGTAGGAAGACCTTGGCATCAAGCACCATGGTGCATGCTCCAGTTTCTAATGGCCATACAATGGTAGGCATTCATGCCACAACGATAGCAATAAAGGAATGGTGCCTGCAGAGCAAAACATCTGTGAACAAAGAGAAATGGAGGGGGTGTCCTTGCGCCCTATGAGGGGGAAAGTTCAAAGCAACACCTACCTTTGAAGTGATGTTTGCAGGCATGTCCTGAGGAACACTGTGGTCCTAGGCTTGCAGAGGACCATTTAGTGCAGCCTCAGAAATAATCAGAATGCTGTGCCCCAGGGGTAGATTTCTTTAACTGCCTCTGCTGTGTTGTTTGAGCCAAGCCCCACTCTGCATAGCTTGGAGATGAGGTAGTAGAATCTGTTTCCCACCCAAAAGCATACAGAGACACATGTGATCCTAACTCTGTAATGCATGCTACTGTTTTTGAAGTCCCTGTGCCAGAGGCATATTCAGAAGAACTTGGAAGCCTTTACTGCTTCAAATGGTTCTGTCCAAGTGTAGGCAGACTGGTGCTACCCATTGACACAACACAGCTTTAGTCACTCCATGCAGAGGGCAGTTCATTGAGCTGGTGAAACCAGATGTCGAGGAAACAGCAGTGGCTTCATGTGCCAAAGGTCCCAGGTAACCTGATGTGGTAAACTGCCTCGGTCCAAGTTGTTCCTTCTGTCATGATCAAACTACAACCACAAGGCCCAGAAAGGAATTGATTTTATGCAGTGCTGAATCCATCAGAGTTATGTGGTCTCTGGTTCTTAAAAAGGTGAGTGAAATGTCTCGGTTGAGCCCTTCAGAAAAGCGACACATTCATGCACTTTCAATAGCACCACAAGGCGGGGATAGAGTGCCACAAAATCGGGCCAATGCTACCAAGTTTTTCTGCTACTTTGCTAGCATTTTCTTGGCTGAGTCTTAAGCTAGGGCAGTATTAAATATAGGAATTAATTAGCATATGCTAATGAGTGACATATGAGAATGCCACAACCCTTGGATAGGCCACAATAGGGTGGGAAATGGCTGATTAGATAGATAACATAATTGTTTTTAAACCAATTACAAACAAATCCTAGCTCCTTGCTAGGAGATCCAAGGTGCCGCTTGACCATGTGTGATGGCACTCCAAGTGTTGAAGCAGGTTGTGGCCTGCATGGGACAGGTGGGGGGCACTTGTTGCCAACCCACTTCCTTCTGTCTCCAGCAGAAGGGTCTGAGTTCAAAAGAGAAGCAAATATACCCCCCCCCAACACACACCACCACACAGACAAATAGCATAGAGACCAGTTATCATGCTGTTGGCTCTCTGTCAGTAGTTCCCAATTAGCTTGGTTTTCAAAAGCCAAGCCCCTACTTTTGACAATTTTGATCTCTGTGTGGTAGTTTTTGTTACATGAATGGTGCCACAGATGGGGTCCACGGACCACCTATTGGGAACCACTGCTGTAGGCCACAGATTGGTTGAATACCACACAGAAAGCAAAATGCAGCCGGGGCACAATTTTTTGTCTTGTACAGATAGGCTTGCGAGAAGACCTGTGTGGGGCAACCACAGTGCCTTGAGACCTGCTCTATCTCACCTGTAGGCCCACGGAGACAGGCTCCTCTTGTTGGACATCCAGAGCCTCAGGTTGACCTGGCACTTGCTCTCCAGGGACTCGGAGCTGTTCCGCAGCTGGCTAACCATCTCATGGATGCTCCGCTCGTAATCCTCCACAAGGGTGTAGTCTGTGGAAGCCTCTGGGTTTACTCTTAGCACCGGGTCAGGTGAGGATTCCTGAGCCTTCAGGTGATGAACCTTGGCTTTTGCTGATCCTCTCTTCTTTCCTTTAGCTCCCTTGCTTTGCTCTTTTGTTTCTCTGGAGGCATCAAGTGTGAAGGAAAGGCAGATAGCACAGAAAACCATCTGGAGAGGGGAAAAAGAAAGCACACTGGGTACTTTTCATTGTACAACTCAGGGGCACCTTTGGCTCTCCAGAGGTTACTGAACTGCAACTCCCATTATCCCTAGCCATTGGCCATTTTGCTAAGACTTATGGAAGTTGTAGTTCAACAACATCTGGGAGGGCCAAAGGTTCACTATACACTCCTTGTATAGCTAGTCACTAGCACTTGTCCCCTTTCAAGTAATTTAGTCAAAGCTGGAAGAGAGAGGGGGGCCCCAGACTGTTAATATTTTGCCGGAGGGATGAAATTGCCTATGAGGAAATTGAGTTTTGCATAGTTAAAGTGGATTAGCGCACTCTGTCACCCTAGTGCAGCTGCAATTAATTTGCTATTAGGAAAGTGGCAAGGAGAAACATTGAAAAGTGTGGAATAAACAAATGATTATCAGGAAGATGTATAAATGCCCACCAGCAAATCCAGACGAATGCTTGTCATATAATCAGAATAAATGCTCAATGACCAGAGTAGAAGAGCCCAGAGAGAGGATGCTCCCCCATCAAGGTGATCTCAGTTGGCAAATTGTTCTTCAAAATCATCCTCATCAGCACTTTCAGTGCAAATTTCTCCTCATAGACAGATTTTTATACGCGATCTTGCCTAATAGACATTTTGCAAAGCAATTTCCCCTAATACAATGCATTTTTCTATTCTATTTCCAACAGAATATGCATTCCTATGGGTGTATTACCGTATATATGCAGCTTTGTACACATAACTTGCCTGGAGAACTGCACTGCAAAATTCAGAGAAGTCTGAATTTTGTAGGATAGCTGTGTTTTGGTTTGCATATTGTCTTGGGATGTGTGGATTAAGTCGGTTCACCTTTTAACGTGCAGTGAACTGAATTTCTCCCCCATGCCTCGCCATAAACGGAAGAACTTTATATGCACAAATCAACCATTCCCACGACATTCTTAACTGCTGTCCATTTTGTCCCCATCTGTGCTTCCTTCTATGGAATCCTTTCTTTATTTCCTTCTCTCCCCCTCTCTCTCTGGGAGGTCATTTTTGTCTCCTCAGTGCCAGGCCCTGAAAGCAATAGTTCACCCAGGCAAAGTTTACACTTCCCAAAGCAAACAAGCCCGACAGGCTGTTAATAAATAGAAAGTAAATAAAAAGAGGCACAAAGAAAGCCAGGCACCTACCAGTTTTGAAGCCTACTCCATGGCAGTGCGGGTGGGTGAGCAAGGACTCTGCAGATGCCCTCCCTCTGTGTTGAATGAAGGGAGCGAGTTGGGCTGGGTGCTTTTAAAAGAGAAGCAACAGCCCCTAATTGCTTCATCGCCAGGGAGGTGGGCCTGCCTGGCACCAAGAAACTTCCTCAGGGTGCCAGCTAGGTTGTTGACAGCCAGGAGGGACAGCCCTCAGTGCTGCCCTGCTACTTCCCAGCAGGCATGTAGGTTTCCCCCAGGGACAGCGCAAACCGTGGCCACAGGCTGGCTGGCTTCAAGCACCTGCTTAGAGGACTCCAGGGTGGGTAGCGAAAAGGAGCTTTCTGAAGGCAAACTTCCCCAAGGCTGGGGGTAGCCAGGTATTATTCCATTGTAAAGACTTCCAAATTTCTCAGGCAAGAGGAACGACCATTGAATGTTGATCTTGGAAAGTGGTGAAGAGCGTTTCTCCAGGCTGAGGGAATGAGAGCAGGGCCTTCTGTGCTACCTGGGAGGCCTGGCTTTGAGTGGGTGGGTTGTTGAATGCAGGGCTTGTCCAAGGGCTGGAAGGTATAGATCCCACCCCATCCCCCAAAGTCAAGCAATTAGCATAGCCAGCGTCCCGGAAGGGACTTTGGGGCAGCGCAAAGGCCACTTAGGGACAAGGACAAAATGGAAAGGTTGCACTCCAGTTTAGAAACGCAGGAGTGTGTTGTGTGGTGAAGGAACAGGAACAGAAAGTCAGCGAAGTCTCCTTTTGCTTGCTTATTTATATACTGAGCACCTAGGACAATGATTTTCCAGAGGGGCAGCTGTGTTAGTCTGCAGTGAAAACTGCAGAGAGTGTTGTGGCACCTCAAAGGCTAGCATATTTATTATGGCATAAGCTTTTGTGGACTACAGTCTATCTCATCAGATGCGTGAAGTGTTATCCTGAGTTGCAAGGGAAAATGGTGAGTGGTAGAGGATTGTAAACAGTGATAGCAGAAGGAAATGAAATGCAGGAAAATCTCACTATTTCCCCTTTTTTTTGCATTTCATTTCTTTCTGACATCACTGTTTACTCTCTCTCTCTCTCTCTCTCTCTGTGTGTGTGTGTGTGTGTAACACCCATAATGCAGGAAAATACTTCATGCATCTGATGAAGTGTATTGTAATCCATTAAAGTTTATGCCATAATAAATTGACTTGCTGTTGTTTTACTATAACAAAGTCTCCCTTTTGCTTGCTTATTTATTAATGGAGCACCCAAGTATATAGAATTGTTGAGGAGGGGGGAGGGATGAATAAATAAATAAATAGAGAAATATGTGTAAGTCTGGGCATTGGATGGACCAAGATAGAAACAAGAAATGGCCAGGTTTATAGGACCCATTGCTTGACCTTGAATACAGATCTCATTTCTTTCTTTCTCCTGCTTATCAAATATTTCTCTGAGGGAAAATCACCATCCCATGAAGCCAGGCTTTAATTTATCTTGCGTGGAGTACATATACATTGTCTCCATCCTCAATATTTCTTAGGAAATGTCTAATGATTTGATTCTGCACACAAAAAGGCAACAGCAACAAAAGCCAAATGAATGCTAACATCGCCACACCTTTTCCCCCCGCAACAGATTGCATTCAGGCCCTGCTGAATACTTCTGCCTTGGTTTCATCAGTTAGTGTATTAGGTTATGAAGGGCGTAATCAAGCAATGTATTAAGCAAGAAAAGCCTCTTGCTGAAATACAAGACCCCTCCTCCTTAAATAACTAAAATTTGTGTCTTTTAAAAAAATGCCCAAGTAAGACATTGGGATGGGTTGTGTCTATGACCACATTCCCCAGTGCTGCAGTCTGCATACCAAAAACTCCACAGGTCCCCGAGCCACAAGACACACACAGTCAAATGAAAACAAGTCATAATCTTTCACAAATGTGTTTGCTTTTTTATATAAAATAGCGAGTTATATTTGCCTACACTCTCCCTCTTTTCTCTGGAGTGCACACACAGAGTTCTTCTATCTCTCACACAAGCTAGGCAGCCTTACAGCAACCTGACCAAAAAGTTTATTTGCTTTCTAAGCTCAGCTTAAATTATACCTAAGGGATTGATTTAACATTTGAATGCTGTAGAATAACTTGAAATGATCCAACGGTGGCTTGCAATTCTTGTTCCTCTCCTTTTTGCCTCTATTTCTAGTTTGACATCAGTGGAAGGAAAAGAAACCCATTTTAACTGTTTATAAGTGGTGGATGAGTTAGCTCAAGCTTCACCAGCCTGGAGCCATCCAGATGTTTTAGACTACAATCCCCAGCATAGACTCACTAGGGCTGATGGGAGTTGTAGTCCAAAACATCTGGAGGGCACCAAGTTGGCAAAGGCTGAGATAGTTGATGGTCATCTGACCCACTAGCTTTTATTAATAAAGGTGGTGTAGTAATGCATTGCACATCAATAAATCAGTGGCTCAACACATGCAGCCTGGCTAACTAGGAAAGTGATTGGGAACCAGACACATCAGCTGTTGTTGAACTATAGCTCCTCTCTCTAGTTGCTACTCTCTAGTTGTGCTGTATTCTCTGGAGTCTTGTCAGCTGTAGGCCTGGTCACTGTTAGCATTTTTAATTGCTGGTGCTTTTAGTAATTTGGTTAAAGAATGAAAGAAGAATTCCCTGGACACCTAGATGCAGGTTTGGGGCAAGTTCTCTTTGGTGAGTGAGACCTAGCAGAGATTTAAATTCACAAAACATGCAGCAAAGTAAAACAAGGAAATAAAAGCTGTTAGACCTTTAAAATTCCCCCTTCTAAGTTTCTTTCAAAAGCTCCCCACTTTCCCTTAGCATAGAGAAAGAGACCACATCTTTGGTAAGTTAAAAATGGTTTACTTTTAATAATGCATTTCAAATTATTTTTTGGACTAATGTAGCTGAGTCCTAAGATTGGAGCATCCAATATAGATGCCCTTATTGGGTTGAGTTCACATGGCGGAAGTAACAGAAAGGTGGAAAGTGGGAGAAGTTTAATAGCCCTTCCTTCCAAGGTGAGTGGGTGTGACCTAGCTAAGCCTGGCAGGACAGTTTACTCTATGGTATTAACCCCTTCATGCATTAGAGTTAAGCTAGCTATATCCCACAAGAATTGTGCCTTGAAACAGACCAGTAAGCAGTGGAGTTGTTGTAACATAGGAGTCACATGCATCCCATAACCAGCCCCAGTTGATATTCTGGCTGTGGTATTCTGGACCAGCTGGTTTGAATAGATCAAAGCTGCCTTTCTAACCCTGTAACATGTGATGAACTGCCTAAACCTTATTCGTGTAATCGTCCTAGCTAATACTTCTGTAGCTGCTATTCCAGGGGGCATTGAAAAATAGCAGGTCTTTTCACATGTAAGCTGAGAGTCTTGTAAGCTTCTGCTGTTGCTTAAAGTGGTTGATAATCTGAACATTAAACCTACATTGGTCACCAAATGTGTCTTAATTTCAGAACCCTGCTTTCAATTCTCCATTAAAAACAACCACACATTCATACACATAGTACACCCTAGAGGTTCAAAGGTGATGTAAGTCTTGCCTGAAAACATTCTAAATCTGCAAGTCTGTGGGATCTTTGGCTTAGCTTGGCCTGACTGGTAGCAGCTGGGGTGGGACTGGATCCGTCACCCCTGCCTTTCCAGAAAGCTGCCACAGGGTGGTGCTAGAGTAAAGGCAAATGACTGTCACCATTGTGACCCCCACCCCTCACACAACACCACCATGGATGGTCCTGGTATTTCAGTCTTCTCAAGAGCTAAGAAACTCATTGCAAAACATGTCGTCATTTAAAACCGTTTTAAATCACGACTAGTCAGGCATGGCAGAAAACAAAGGAATGCGCCCAGAAATGCCTCACCAGGGATACCAAACACTGTTCTTAAAAGCAGAAGCTCCAGTACTTAACCTTACAAATTCCTTTCCTGTTCCCTGGGCGGATGAGAGATGAGGCAGCCGCCTATAGGAGAGCTTGGAAGGAATGGCTCACAGCAGAGCAGCCAACCTGGCAGGGAAGCCTCAGCTGAGCGGGAAGGAAGACTTGACAAGCTTATTAGCAAATGCCCCACGGCTTACAGAGATAAGCATAAAGCAGATGAGTATGAAATTGCCCCGTTCTCTGTTCGGCCTGGCCTCATCCCTTGCAAAGATGATAATCAGACTGATTGCATATTCTCCAGTCATTCCTATTTTCTGGGAAATCACTGTACTGTCCCTAGTTTTGCCTTTTGGGAATGTATTCGTAACATCTCGTTAGTCTTGTTTCCTGGAGTTCGGGATTCTTACCTCCTTCACTCCCAAGGTCTCTAAAAAGTAACTCTTTGAGTGGGATCTGCCTGATCTCTCATATACATGTATATATGTACAAGGCAAAAAGGTAAAGGTAAAGGACCCCTGGATGGTTAAGTCCAGTCAAAGGCAACTATGGGGCTGTGGCGCTCATCTCACTTTCAGGCCGAGAGAGCCAGCATCTGTCCACAGACAGCTTTCCAGGTCATGTGGCCAGCATGACTAAACTGCTTCTGGCACAACAGGACACTGTGGCGGAAACCAGAGTGCATGGTAATGCCGTTTCCCACCACAGCGGTACCTATTTATCTACTTGCACTGGTGTGCTTTCGAACTGTTAGGTTGGCAGGAGCTGGGACAGAGCAATGGGTGCTCACTCTGTGGTGGCAATTCGAACCGCCAACTTTCTGATAGGCAAGCCCAAGAGGCTCAGTGATTTAGACCACAGCGCCACCCGCATCCCTGTACATTTATATACATTTATATACATTTATACATGTATATAAATGCACAGGCATGTATATGAGGGTACTGTGTGTAGATGCTGCCATTTCACATGCTGGTGAGGCACATTTTGAACTGTTGGTAACAGATTGTAGAATGTGTGTTTGTGTGTGTTTTCCCCTAGCATATTGTTTAATTAAAAGAACAAATGCCTTCTCATGTTCTTTAAAAAGAGAGCCAGTGTGGTGTAGTGGTTAAGAGCAGTGGACTCGTAATCTGGTGAATCGGGTTCGATTCCCCGCTCTTCCACATGCAACTGCTGGGTGACCTTGGGCTAATACTTCTCTGAAGTCTCTCAGCCCCACTCACCTCACAGAGTGTTTGTTGTGGGGGAGGAAGGGAAAGGAGAATGTTAGCCGCTTTGAGACTCTTTAAGGGGAGTGAAAGGCGGGATATCAAGTCCAAAACTCTCTTCAACCCAGTGGAAGTTCACATTGTTCCCCTTTCCCTGAATAGGCACAATCTTGCCTCCCCTCCTCCACTCAACAGGCTCTGGGACATTGGTCCAGTTTGTCCTAGTCTGTATTACAGAAGTGTATGGGATTCTTCACAGCAGCCTTTGTTTTGCCAACAGCTGAAAATGCTGTTTACACTTGACTTAGAATCATAGAATCATAGAGTTGGAAGAGACCACAAGGGCCATCGAGTCCAACCCCCTGCCAAGCACCAGATCTTCAGAGACTTCCCCCCCCACTTGATTCTTCACTTGATTCTTCAGCTCTGCTTGAACCTTGGAGTTTTGCTCTTTCAGGGAGAGAGAAATGTGAAATACCACTTTCATCACAGGTAAATTCTCTGTGCTCAGGACCAGCTTTCTTGAAAGACAGAAACAATGTTATCATCCACAAACCTCAACTTTAGGGAAGGACGTGCAGTTCAGAGAGCAAGTCTGCCTACATACTTGCACGATAGGATAGGAAGTATTACAGTGGTTACAGCTATGGGCCAACCACTCCTTTTGGGAGGAAATTACTTGTTAATACAGTGGTACCTCGGGTTACATATGCTTCAGGTTACATACGCTTCAGGTTACAGACTCAGCTAACCCAGAAATAATACCTCACGTTAAGAACTTTGCTTCAGGATGAGAACAGAAATCATGCTTCGGCAGCACAGCAGCAACAGAAGGCCCCATTAGCTAAAGTGGTGCTTCAGGTTAAGTACAGT